ACGTGTGTGTGTGTGTGTGTGTGTGTGTGTGTGTGTGTATGTGTGTGTGTGTGTAGGTGCAAATGTATATACATGGATGTGGAAACCAAAGTCAATGTCTAGTATTGTTCCATCTATTTGAGAAACAGTCTCTCACTGAGCCCTGGGACTTCCTGATTAGGCTAGGCTGGCCCTTGAACTTACTTATATTGCAGCCCTTACCATCTAGAATCAGCACAATTAAAATGTGAAGTCAAGCAAATCATGTTTTTGCATAAAGAGAGGAAGGCAGAATGCACTATGGTATTTTGACATCTGTGCCTCTGCCTTGGGCCAAAAGCAGAATGGTTGTGCACTGTTGATTTGGCACCCCATCTGCCTTCTTTTTGTGGCTAAATCCTCTCCCCATTCCCTCCATGTGGAGCCCATGATGAAGCCTGGGAGAGTATTGGAATTCGAGGCATCTAGAGAGAAAAGCAGAACCCAGGCACAGGAGAACAGGGGGGGATCCATCCTGAATGTGACCCTGTGGGGTCAGTGTTAACTCTTCTCTACCACTAACAGTTTGCAAGTGTTCTGGGGATGGTACCAATAAAGGTCAAAAAACACTAGCCTGAAAAAGATGGATAAAAACAACAGAAAGAAAAAAACATAAACAAAACAAAAGCCCCACTAGCTTGTTCTAGGAAATCAATTTCTGCTTGAGCGCTTTTATGACATCTGACTCAGGAATTTTTGAAACTTGGCTTTTTAAAACTCAGTCCAGGCCTTCAGAGTTCTTTTTTTTCTTTAACTTTCCATGTTTCTCTTCCTTCTCTTTTCCCATCATTTACTCACACCACTTACACTCATTTGCAGGCTTCACTTCTGCCCAAGTAGCTTTGCTCTACTTGATCTGAGAGATCCAACTCTGACCTTCCACAGCATGGTTACTTTAGGATCATTGATGTAAAGTTTAGAATGTTGTAACTTAACTCTTTAACTGATTTAAGCTTGAGTAGTTAAGCAACAGAGGGATGAGTGCCCAGAAAGGCATGCAGTAAGTAAACAAGAGTAATCAGCTAGAGAGAAACTGCTTGTCTAGGGAAATTGCCTGGCCTTTCTTTTTCAGGGCTGGGGGCCAGGCCCACAGCCTCACACATGCTAGACAAGCCCTCTACCACTGAGCAAACCCCCAGCCCTAATGGAAAATTCTTTTGAAAAACATCATTATTTTCATAAATTAAAGCTTGTTTTTACCTTACTCTGATTTTCTTTTCTTCAGTTACAAGTTCCTGGTAATTGTGCTGTGTTTCAAAAGAATGAAATAGTGCTTTAATGTTGAGTATTGAAGATTGTTTCAGTTAAATATGAGGTTATTGTAGCACCCTATTCAGAAGCATGCTTTCCTCTGATTCTGCCTTGAGTTTTGGTGGATCTTTACTCATTGCATGCATATATATATATATATAAAACAGAATATCAAGAATGGAAGATAAAGTGGACAAATTAGACCACTCAAGCAAAGATCATGAAAAAATTAAGAAAACACAAGAATGAAGCATGCAGGAATTGTGTGACACCATAAAAAGACCAAACTTATGAATCATAGGCATACAGGAAGGAGAAGAATCCCAAAATAATGGCATGGAACAGAATCGTGGAAGAAAATTTTCCAAAATTTAAGAAAGACATGCCCATACAAATACAAGAAGCATATTGAACATCAAACAGGCAAGACAAAACAAATGACCAAAAAAAAAAACAACAAAAAAAAACTCTGTGCTTGCTTTCTAGACTGATTTTGCACGATTTAGTGGAACAAATGTGGAAACTGACTTTGTAGAGGTGCCATCACAAATGCTTGAAAACTGGGTGTGGGACATTGATTCCCTCCGAAAACTGTCAAAACCTTATAAAGACGGAAGCCCTATTACAGATGATCTGCTTGAAAAGCTTGTTGCTTCTAGACTTGTCAACACAGGTATGACTTAAATTTTTAGAAAAGGAAAACACTGGGAATTTCTCAATGCAGCAGTCCTGGCTGCTGTTTCTGTTGGACTTAATTTCACTTTAATGATGATGTACCCCAGGAGTGTAATATGCAGAGGGAAGAACACAATATATTGGAATGGAGAACTCTGGGATTACATCTGAAGGGGAAGAAAGCTCCTTTTAAGTCTTATATGGATGAGACGTCTTTTTGTCCTGCTCCCCTTCTGTGATAAATATTGCTGGAATCAGTTTTCAAATCTCTGATCTTGTGGTAGTGGAACACATAGTTCTCTCTTCTCCAAAACATGCTCAAATATTCTTACCTTATTAGGTCTTCTGACCCTGCGCCAAATTGTATTGAGAAAAGTCGATCAGTCTCTCCACACCAATGCATCCCTGGATGCCGCCAGTGAATACGCTAAATATTGCACAGAAGTTTTAGGTGTGGCAGCTACTCCAGGTACATGTAAACTTTATCACTTGAGCCCACTGTTGCTGTGAAGCAAAGCAGTATCCTTAGCGCTACAGGGTTGGGGTGGAGTTACTTAACTCCTTTCTGCTCTGTGTAATCAAATCATACTGAGGCTTTCAGATAAGCATTCTATGTCCTTATGAGTTGTCCTATCCAAATGTACTTGAAGGAGAGGTGGCTCCAGATTCACAGCTTTTTAGTGTAATCAGGCATGAGCAATTGGCCTCCGCCCCAGAGCACAGTCATTCCCACTTGGCAACAAGCACCCTCCTGTCCCCTCCCTCCCTGTGTACATCATGACTTCCCTGTGATTCAGTAAGAAATTGGCAGAAGGGGCACATTTAGGGAAAAGCAAGAACTTCCTTCAGTTCTGATTCTAAGGCCAGTTAAAGCATTTAACTGGCAGTTTTGTAAGCTGAAGCTTAAGGGTATTTGTTAGAGTATGTAAATTTAAATTTATGTAGGGTTGTTTTGGTTTTTGTCTTGGGGGGGTTTGTTGTTATTGTTTGAGACAAGGTCTCATTATGTAGCCCTGGCTGGCCTAGAACTCACTATGTAGACCAGGCTGGCCTCAAATTTGTATATAGTCACCTGCTTTTGCCTCCTGAGTCCTGGGATCAAAGGTGTGTACCACCACACCTGACATATATGTCTGTTATTTAAACCAACTAATAGATGTGCAATGGCATGTAAATTGACAGGTAAACATTTTGACCAAGGAAATTGTTGCTAAAATGAATCATCCTCACTTATGGAGGATATTAAGATAAGAATGGCCCTCTAGCCTCCTTGCTTCCTTCTGGTGATCTGTTTATAGTAAACTGTGAAGCAATTTTGTGCCTCAAGCCACTGGCCAAAGCCCTATTAAAGGCAACCCTATGTGTAGATTGACTCAGTAAATATTTTTTCCACTTTTCTTTTTTTATTTTTATTTTATGTATATTCGTGTATTGCCTACGTGTGTATGCGCACCTGTGTTGTGTAATGCCTGCAGAGGTCAGAAGAGGGTGTCAGATCCCCTGGAACTGGAGTTAAAAACATTTGCTACCTGCCATGTAGATGCTAGAAATCAAACCTGGGTCCTTTGCAAGAGCAGTCAGTGTTTTTAACTGCTGAGCCATCTCTCCAGCCCTTTTTTCCACTTTTCAAGTAAGGAATTTTCTTTTCAGAAGTTATCAACTAAACAAGTTCCATTTTTTTCTGAGGCATTTTAGATATTAAGAAATGTGGTTATGGATGGGGTCTATAGCTCAGCATTAGAGTTCTAGCCTAGCATGTACAAAGCCTTAGGTTCATTCCCCAGCACTAGGGAAAAAATATGGCAAAGAGTACAGGTATTACTAGAGTATTTTACAGGTACATTAGTATCTACGAGATTGAGAAAGGGCTGGCTATCTCCTGAGCTCCCTGATGGGTGTGGACAAAGCCTCTGAAACTGTTGTCAGACCTTCTACAGCTTGGGCTGAAACCTCCCCAAGGGTTCAGCCATTGATAGGAGAGGCTTGTATAAACATCTTGGCCAAGGGTGCACAGTGAGCTCCTATCATTCACTCTCTCCCAGCGCAGCTGGGCTCCCCAAAGGAAAACTAGCTAGTTCGTAACCTGACCATTAGCATTTGCCATCATACTGATTGAAATGTGTCTCCTTTAAAGGCACAAATATGCCAACTACTTTTGGACATTTGGCAGGAGGGTACGACGGCCAGTATTATGGGTATCTTTGGAAAAAGTAAACACTTCCACACCCTAATCCTACCTGCTTTTCCTGCTTACCCCTCCCTGATTTCTCCTCCAAACATTCCCCCCTTCCACACCCTAAAGCCCCCATATATAAAGTCCCAGCTCACAACCTGTGGGCTGACACCCTTCCCTTCCCAGACATCTTTCCCTTCCCTTCCCTTCCCTGACATCTTTCCCTCTGCCGGCATCTTTCCCTTCCCCGAGGGAAAGGTGCCCCATGCGAAATAAATCTGTATCCCGCTGAGAATTCCATCTGTGACTCGGTGCCTTCCTCCATCCACGCCGCTCGAAACCTACTGCATTTTCTTGCTTCATTAACATTCCAGTATATTGCATAATTAAAAATTCAAAGCCTTGTTTATGCATTTGATAATTTATAGCTGCTAGTTTTGACATGTGCCATGCAGTGTTTTTGTTTTATAGGAGGTTGAGAAATCAAGTTAAACTTCTTCCTGATGTAAATAATCGCCCAGTGTTTTGATATTCTTTACACAGTTTCTTTGTACGTTTTCTGTGGGAAGTACCCTTTTTTTTGTGGCTGCTGTACCCCACCTACTACATAGTTTGTAACCTAAATGCCTTTGGGTAACTTACACTGCTTCATTAACCTGAGCCATTCTTTCCCATGCTTCCTCTTACAGCCCCCAGCCTCCCTGCCCATTGAGGACACGACTGTCAAATTATTTCTAAGGCTGCTATATTTCCAGTGCGCTTTCAAGTTCTATTTGGTTCAGAAATTAAAAGAACAAATTACCAAAATCAGGTTCTCAGTGTTCATTTCAATTAGCTGACTTGTTCTCTGAACTTTTGTTTCTGGACTGACTGCATCGTGCCTGAGGTACACACACTGAACTACATTGGTGCAATTTAGACTCCCCACTTCCTCCCTGCTTTCCCCATAAAAAAAAATACCTGCAGGCTAGCCATACCCCATGCTCATTCTTCATTCCAGGCATTCCCACCCCCATCCCACCCAACCCAGCAGCCTCCTGTGACCTGACCCACCCACTCACAAAGGTCTGATACTGACTCTGGTCTCATGAATGCCCTGACTTCTGCATGACCTTCAGCAAGTGCCTAGCCCTGATTCCTCCACCACCTCATATTGAGATTGTGCCCTTCCTTAGGGTGTCTTGGGGAAGATAGTATGACTCCATTTGCCTGCCCTACTACTGAGTCATGCCAGCTAACCCGAACTGGCCATTCAGTGTTATTCTGTAGTCTTGCTTCATTCCCTTTATTGATTTCTTCCAAGTTCCCTCTGCCTCTCTCTTGTCAGCCTGCCTCCTTACAACTTCCCGTTCTTATAGCCCCTCCCCAAGTCTCACTATGGATTGTTTTAGAAACTGGAACACAGTGAGATTTTTAAGGGGTTCACTTGGTTGGTTTTGTTCATGGGAGTTGAGACAGTTTTGCTTTGTAACTCCAGCTAACCTCAAACTAACATCAATCCTCCTGCCTCAGCCTCCTGGCTGTTGGGATTATAGGGCTGTAGGATTGCACCTATAGGGCTGTAGGATTGCACCTAGTCCAAGTTTGCCCTCTTTATTAAGAGAATTGAGCCAGGAATGTAGCCCAGGGACAGACTATGTATTCTCTTAGGTCTGTTTACCTTTATACATTTATTCAGTCTATGCCTTCCACTTTAAGTATATGCCTTCCTTGAGCCAGGAATGGTGGTAGATGCCTATAATCCCATCACTTGGGAGGTAGAGGAAGGAAGATCAGGAGTTCAAGTTCATCCTTGGCTGCATAGCAAGTTGGAGACCACTATAAGCTACATGAGACACTGTTTCAAAACAAACAAAAATGAAACAAAGAACAATATGTTTTCCTTATCTGTGCCTCTCAAAAATCATAAAGATCCCACTCAAAAGGCCCCTTTAGATGAACTCTTCTGGTTCTTCCAAACCAGAGTATCTTCCATCCTCTAAACAAAACAGTAAACATGGGTTTGTGGGAAAGGCTTCAGTAAACATTTGTCTGTCTAGAATGTTTACTGTAACTATTGCATTAAGTGAAAATATACTTTATGAAGTATTTTATACAACACAGTGCAAATTTTATTTTTAAAATATGGTAAGGACAAAAGCACACCAAAATGTTAGTGATGATGTTTGGGAGCCAAGGTTTCATAAGGGTTTGGTACTCCTCTGTGCTTTTTATGAAGCTAGTCCTTATTTTTACATAGTACAGGGATTGTTTTAGAAATTGGAACACAGCAGGTTATTTGAGGATTTTCTTTGGTTGGTTTTTCTTTGGGGGGGGGGTTGTGTTTTGAGACAGTTTTGCTTTGTAGCTCCAGCTAGCCTCCTGCCTCAGCCTCTTGAACACTGGGATTACAAGCATGCACCTCCACACCCAGCAAAAACAATGTTTTTTAGGAGATAGGCCCCTCTTGGTAAAGGTTCAACTATGACACCTTCCTGGCTGCTGTTACTTGGGAAACTTTCTGATGGAAACAGACACGACCTGCCTGAGTTGAGCCTCCCCTCGTTCACCATCTCTGAACTTGTGCTCACTCAGCCACATCTCGGCCTCCCCACTCTTCCAGTTGTCAAGGTTAAGGATCCCAGTGGATCCCAGGCTGTTTATATATCCAGCAGAAGTAACCCTGCCGTCAGGCTTCTCCATGCTTCTTATTCTCAAGCTTTGTAGCTTGGCAGGGAGCCAGGTTGCTCTTCATTAGATGAAGGCTGGATCAAGCTTGGAGAAGTCAAGATTCCAACAACCTGGAGCTATTTCCTTTGTGTTGGAAACAACTTGCCCATTCCACTGAGTGGACTCTATGGCTTTACTCAATGCTGTTCTGCACCTTGAGCTGAGAGGCTGGATTTAATCCTATCATGTCTCTTCTTTTTCCTTTCAAAAGCTGTGAAGTATCCTGTTATTTCTCACACCCTTGCCAGCACAGCCAATTGTGAACCTGGCTTCAGAAGCCGGGGAGAAGCCCTTTGCACCCGACCCTTCCACTCTCCACTGCAGATGCTAGAACCAGCTTTTTAAAAATATTTTATTTATTATTTTTATTCTATGTGTATATTGCCTGCTTGTATGTAAGTGCACCCATGTCATGCAATGCCCAAAAAGGTCAGAAGAGGGTGTCTTATCCCCTAGAACTAGAGTTCTGGACAGTTGTTAGCTGCCATATGGGTGCTGGGAACTGAACCTGGGTCCGCTACAAAAGCAGCCAGTGCCCTTAACTGCTGACCTGTCCCTCCAGCCCCTAGAACCAGCTTTTTAAATATCAATCTTATTCTCTTGTAGGGTGTGCACTGTTTGTTTTTGTGGGGTTGTTTTGCTTTCTTTTATAAATGTTTATACTAAGAATACAAATACTTATCAAAATTTTAAATGCTTGGCACAATAACCCTGTCCTGTGAAAAAGCCTGCACTGTCATTATGGCTGTGCAGTGATAAACAGAAAAGGAAGTGCTATTCTTCAGTCCAGTATACCACACACTACTTGTTCTGTGCCGTGGTCAGAGGCTGTCATTAGCCAGCACTGCAGAAGATGGCAGCACCCTGGCTGTTTCAGGTCCTGGGCATTTGCTTTAATTTCATGCGTTTAGAGATAGATGACTTAAGCAGAGTAACAATGGGAGCTTTATAGTATAAAGTAGCAGTGATCTGCTAGGTCTGAAGTCATGGGAATCAGCCGTTGTTATTTGTCATGTAAACTGTATTGTCTCAAGGCCTCACCCTCCCCAGTGTGTGTTTGAGAAGGTAGCAGAAGTGCCTTTCAAGGACTCTGTTCCTGTTGTTACCAGTCCCCACACCAGAGAGGCTGGAACCAGGAGACCACACTGGTCACCTTGCATCTCCAGGCCTTCTTCCTCTTGACATCCTACAAAGCCCAGGCTCTGATCTGAGAACCATTTCAGATCCTGGCAAGCAGAACTGTAGAAAGTGTGCTGCTCACTGGGAACACAACCATAGGAGGGTCAAATGTCAACTTGCAGTCTTCTGAATACCAAACAGCTGAAGTGGAATATTTTATGGTACAGTTGATTTCCTTCTGCCTTGGGGACTTCTCTGCAAGTATTAGAATTGACCACTTTCCTATTAAAGCCTCAAACTTTGCTACCTGTTTGTAGTTTTTCATATTATTCCTTCTAGTAAGTAGATAGCACATTTTAGCTCTTTAATTCATTCATTAACTCAAATCAGTTTGTAAAATGATTGCCCTGCAAGCATGAGGACATGAGTCTCGATCTCTAGCACCTATGTAAAGGGCCAGTGCAGCAGCACACATCTGTAACTCTAAGTACTGAGAAGGGCAAAGACAGGCGGATTCCCGGAACTCACTGGCAGGCCCATCTAGCTCAATCTGTGAGCTCCAGGTTTATTGAGAGACCCTGGCTCAAAAATTAAGGTGGAGAGTAATTGATGCAGACACCATACATTGACCTCTTACTTACACATGCACACATACAGACACACAGACACACACACACACACACAAAGTCCCTAAACTCTGGAGAAGCTGTCTCATCAGATGGAATGTTTACACCCCTGGTGGTTCTCTTAATAGCAATGGGAAACCTGTTTGGTATTAATGCCCTTCCAGGAAGCTCTAATGCTCTTTGAGGAGATCTGTAAGTTCACCAAATATAACTTCAAAATCCAGCCACTAATCATAGGGTGGAAAAAAATAGGAGCATTTTAACTAGGGCCATTTTTTTTTTAATAAGGCAACTTCATTGTGGGAAAATTTCCTAAGAGGTAATAGACATTGTGGATTCAAAGGCCATTTATATTAAGTCAGATTTATTATCATCCCCTTTTGCTTTTAGAGAAATTGCTAAGCTTTGTGGCTTCCATCAGTGAAAGAGAAGCACAGTCAAGTGTCACCTCAGAAAAAAGGACCAAGAAAATCAAGACAGTTAAGTCTAGCTATCATATTTTAGTCTGTGGTACCATAGGAAGAAGCTGAGCCTTATATGCAGTAGCTTACCTAGACACATGAAGAATTGTATTTGAACACACAAAAGAACCACCTGGCAGAGAATATAATATTAACTCTGCCAGTGCTCTTTAAACAGAATCCTAGGCCCAGTTTCTACTAATGTGTTGCTAAGGAGGAATGTGGAATTCTCCTCCTGCAGGTCCTTCACACCGATCCAGTTCTCTCTGCCCTGACTTACCTGATCTCCTGTGCAACTGCTGATTTGTTTACTTATTTTTAATCTAAGCCTTTCTAACAGCCTCAGGTTTTACCTGGTTATAAAGACAAAGGAAGGAAATTGGATTAATCTCTTTCCTTCTTTTTTCTTTTTTTCTTTTTTCCCCATGACAGGCTCTAATGCTACATCCCAGACTGGCTTTTAAATTCATGCTCCTCTACCGTAAAGCCTCCCAAATGCTGGGATTATGGTGTACCACCATGCTTGGCTGATTTCTTGAATATTTGTAACTTTAGAATCCCAGCCAGTTGTAGGTAGTTGTTCTTTTGTCTTTTGTGGGGAGTAGGGATTGAACCTAGCCTCCTGCATGCTAGGCAGGCACTCTACCACTGGGCTATATCCACAAGTTTTGTTAGTTTTTCTTTTGAATTTTATCTTGAGATAAGTCTAACTAAATTGCCCAGCCTATCCTTGAACTCACTTTGTAGCAGGTCTTGAACTTGTGATCCTCCTTCCTCAGCCTCCTAAATAACTAGAATTACATGCCTGTGCCACCAGGTGTAGCTTTGTCTTCTTTTTTAAACTTTATTATTTATTTTTATGTGTATGAGTATATTAACTGCATGTTTATAAGAGTACTCATGTTATGCAGTGCCCACAGAGGCCAGAAAAGGGTATTGGATCCCCTGGAACTGGAGTTACAGATGGTTGTTAGCCACTAGGTGGATGCTGGGAATTGAACCCAGGTCCTCTGCAAGAGCAGCCAGTGCTCTTAACCTCTGAGCCATCTCTCCAGCCCCCTAGTTTTGTTTTTTTTACAGGCCTTCTTTGTGCTCCTATTAAAGCCCTAATATTCTGTCTTGTTATGTATTGAATTTGTTTTATTTTGAGACAAGATCTCACTCTGTAGCCCAAGCTAGCCTCAAACTTTCCCTCTTTCTGCCTCTGCTTCCCAACTGCTAGGGTTATAGGTATGTATCACCACACCTAGTACCTAATTATATATTTCTTATCTCTCCTTCTAGATCATAAGGCCCTTGTAAAAGAAATTGTTCTATTCACCTTTGTGTCCCCTGCACTACTTCAAAACTATTTTAATTACTTTAAAGATGTGTTGGTTCATCCCACTCCTTCTACTGCTTTGTTCCCCTAAAACACAGCTAACCTGAGGCATGGCTTTTTTCCTGATCTCCTCCTCCCCCATAGATAAAGTTTCTTCTTTCCATCTTCACTATTGGGAACTCTTGTTTCAAATGTCAGAGAGTTCCTCTTGCTTTTCTTACTTCCAGCTTCCTCACTCCCTGTACCTGTCTTATGCTCTCTCACTCTTTGATTATTGTCAAAGGCATTGTTTCTTTTACCCAAGATCTCCTCACCATCAGAGAAAACGAAGGATATGCTGCTGGGATGGAGTTAAGGGCTAGGAAAGGTCTCGAAGTCAAGTTTGAGGACAGATGAGGGAGGTACGGTGCCTAGAGGTCCTCACCTGTCCTGGGCAAGGCTCTCTTGACTCTGTCAGGAGGAGGCAAGTCTGGCTGTGCTCCCAGAGTAGCTAGGTTGAAAGGCTATGGGAGCCAGGGTGTGCTGCCTCCTTACAGAGCTAGTGGGAGACCTGGTCCACTTCCCCTTTCTATGGTTTCATTACTGACAGAGGATGAGCATCCTGTGTTGGATAATTGCAGTTGCTATTAAAATACTGCCCCAGAACGTTTATACTCTTGGATAAAACAAGTGCCTTCTCTCTCCTACTTAATATTCTTAACAAATTATATATTCTTCCTTACTAATAATGGAGGTGAAGTCTCTTGTGCTTTCCTCTAGCTTTATTAGGAAACAGAAGTGATTTTAGGGGAATGTCAAATCAGGAATGCAGTTATTTCACTGAACATAGATAAACAAGTGCAAATGGGGGGAGTGAGAAATGCGAGCAGAAGAAAGTAAAAGGGAAGGGAAGGGAAGGAGAAGTGGGAAGGAAAGGGAAAGGGAAGGAAAAGAAAGGAGGGGTAGTTTTATGGAATCTCACTGTATGCCAGGTGGGATACTGAAATTGTCTAATAGCCTGGAATAGTGATGTGGACATAGCCTCATTTTACAGATAAGAAAACAAGACCAAATATTATATAGCTGGTGTATCAAGCCACAGTTCAGGCCTAGGCCTAACTCCAGACCCCCTAACCATGCTTTCAAAATTCTCAGGGTTAGAGAAGGCTTGCAACATGCCAACAGATACATGCTGATCTTCCAGGATTCAAAACCTCAGAGGTAACTGACTGATTTCCCTTCCTAGGAGAGTTGATAGGCTCTCAGACTGGGTGCAGAGTGCTTGTGTCAAGGAAAAAGTTAGTGCCTTACCCCGTCTAGTCCTGCCTTCCTGGCAGTTCAAGCTTCTTTATTGTGTAAACACCATGAAGGCCAGCATCCCTTCCACCTGTGGCAGATGTCACCCAGACCATGGTCTCTCACTATGAGAGTGTGGTACCTTCCTAAAAACAAAAACTCACTTAACTACTTTTTTTTCTTGACCAAAGCAAGATCCTGTTACCAAAATGACTCTTAAACTCTTCTCAAAGCTTCATTGCAAAGGAAATGGAACTATTAAAAGACCATTGCTCTGTAATTCAGGAAATTAAATCAACTTGTTTGGAGGCATAAGCAGAGGAGGACTTGAGCTGTACTGAGCCACATATTATGAGACTAAACAGTGCTCTGCTCTTACATGACTGCAGGTGGAGCAGGCAGTCACAATGCTCTTCACAATGCTGCAGAAGTCCTCGAATGCTTCCTTCACTTTCCCACTGAATTTGTAGGTCTCCACATGTTTGGAGATGCTTTGACAGATGCTCTCATCTTGAGTTATGTCTCAATTTTTTTAGATTTTCATTACTGTTCCTGTAATATTTGAGGGATGAAACATACCCTTTTTAATAAATGAAAGGGATATAATACACAGAGCTTGAATGTGAAATTTCTGTGGAAAAAATAGTAATTATTGCCAGGTGTGGGGCACACCTGGAATGACAGGAGTTGGCAGGCTGAGGCAAGAGGATCAGAGCTGGAGGCCAGGTGGGACTATGTAGTCCCTGTCTCAAAAAAAGTAATATACAGTGGTTGTGTAGCTCGGTTGGTAGAGTGCTTGCCTAACATGTAGGGGGCCCAGCGTAAACTGGGCATAGTGTTGCATGCTTGTAACCCAGCACCTAACCATTTTGAGGTTGGGTAATAGATACGTGAGGATTCGTTGTAATGTTTTCTCTATTGTTAGTCTGTATTTTGTTTTCTTTAATAAAAGGTTTAAAATATTTTCATAAGTGTGTAGATAAATTCACTTTGTACTGTTTCCATACTGCTGTACCCAGAGAGCCCAGTCTCACCTTGCTCCAAGCACTAATTTGAAACACTAGTCAAATTGAGACACTGAGCAGTGAGTGAAAGTGAGGAGCTAAATCCCTGACAAGCTGACAGAGCCACGGATAAGTAACAAAGATAGCAGACTTCCTGCTTCCTCACTGGAAAAAGGACCTGGAGGCTTCTTCTCCTGACAGCCGGGGCCCTCCCTCTTCTGCCAACCAATCCAGAGCATTTAGCCAAGGCTGGTCCTGAACATATCCCAGCTTGGAACTGTGGCCTGCGTTCAATCTCCAGCTCTGTATGCACTGGGGATGATGACTTTTGCCTGTAATCCCAGCACTTGGAAGGTTGAGGCAGGAGGATCTGAAATTTATGATCGTTCTTGGCCCACAATAGCAAATTCAAAGTCAGTCTGAACTATCTCAAAAAAATTAATTTCACTTTTTTTAATTTTGTAAATGTTGTTGATAGAAAATTTAAACATATATATGCTTCATATTTCTGTTGATCTTGCTACTTTAAAATCTAGCAGGCAGATGTCTGTGAGTTCAAGGCCAGCCTGGTCTACATATTGAATTCCAGATGAGATGGCTACATAGTGAGTCCCTGTCTCAAAGAAAAAAAGAAAAGATTAAGTTTACTTTTTATGATCCCCTTCTAAAAATACCTGAAGCCATTTGACAGTAGCTACACTGCTTGCTTCTAGGCACGCACAACTCATTTTTATATCTCTGGATCACTTGAACCGCTAACCCTTTTAAAATCACATTGGAGATGAGGTGAGAATCAGGAACAAGCTGTGTGTTCGATTTGGTTCATCTGTTGGCCTGCTTGCCTGTGTTGTTAGCTCACTGCTGAGAATCTGGGTTGGGGGCGGGGGGACACATGCTCTGTAGTGTTGGCAGAAGAGAATGTCTAGACTGGACTGAGCCAAAGCACTTTTCTCACCCTCACCTCTTTCTCTTTTGTGTCTGGGGATTTGGAGAGCTGCTATGCTCTTGAGTTATTGGGCATGATGTTTTCTTTTATTAGGTTGGAATGAAATACAGAAACCTGATCCTGAAACCTGGGGGATCTCTGGACGGCATGGACATGCTCCAGAATTTCTTGCAACGTGAGCCAAACCAAAAAGCATTCCTCAGGAGTCGAGGCCTGGATGCTGCGTAAGCCAGCAATCTCTGGGAGCTATCCATGACTGGAGGACAACTCGACATCGCCATGTGGTACCAGCCCGGAGACTGAAGGGAGTTTCACAAACGAAAACTTAGATTTCTATCGATTTGCTTTTGTTTTTAATTTTCAAAATTATACAGATGTAAATGGAATTATAAATACTATGACCTAAGAAAAAGACCCACTAAAAAATAATTGTACTGTAAAATTTCATAAAAATGGATTTGATTTCTTTTGATAAAAGTTTCATATGAATGTAATTTGATTTTTTTACTATTATAATCTAGATAATATAATGTAAGAGGGCTAAGAATTTTTAAATTGAATCACACACATGATATAATTTGATCCTTCTTATATCTTGAAATTTTGTACTTGGGATTATTTCTGGACCCATAAATGAATCATCACATTCTTATGGTAAATATTTTCTTGGAGCCCTGTGTCAACTTTGACCCTCTGCCTCACAGTCCAGTGTGACTTTGCCTTTGCCTGCACACCTCAAGGCCAGGGGAATAGCCTCAGTAATGCATTTATCTCTACACATCCCGCCTCATGATTCTCAGCTTTCTGTCACACCTAATTATGTTCTTCCTTTTGGATTTTTCTTAATAAAATTCAGTTAGAGAATATTTTTTTTTTTTTAATGGTTTTAACCGAACTAGCCTAATACATGTTTCAGGTTTTTTGTCTTACACTAGAAGCTCAGTTCTTCTTCAGCTTTTAGGATTATCAAGTCTTTGGACTGTCACCAGTGAGAAAAGTAGAGTAACCTTAGACGTCTTTTGAATTCTCATGTTTTTGTTGTTTTTTAGGTTTTTTTGTTATGATAAAACATTTCACTATGTAGCCAGACTGGCCTGGGATTCATGGTAATTCCCCTGCCTCAGCCTCCCAAGTTTTGGGATTCCAAGTATGAGCCAGCACATTCAGCTTACGTTTCTAAAAAGGGGTTGTGTGATCTCGCCTCCCTTACTGACCACCTCCCTCAAAGTGGTAGGCAGATGTGGCACAGTGGTGAGGACAGATGGCACAGAGTGGAGCTGAGAGAGTTTAGAAACTCAGAAGAAAGTGAGTTGGAGTGGAGCATTTAAAAACAGCTCTCCAAAGTGTTACGTGTGCAGACTCAGCTGTGGGGAAAGGCTCTCCAGTAGCCTACTTTGTTATTGATTTTTATTTTAAATGAACCTCCAGATCTCTCTCTCTAACTCTCTTTACTGGGACCTAAATTTCCAATTCAACAGCAGAACAGTAAACTCACACCATTATTTTTCTTCTCAGAGTCTATTCAAAAATGAAACAAAGCAGGATCATAAAAAGAAAATGTAAATGAACTCTGAATGTACTTTGCACCATCATCGGTTGTTTCCCCGAATACATACCTGAGTAGTGACTTTACTGGCCAGGTACAAAATTAGAACCTTTCAGTTCTCCAGTCCAAGTGGACTTTGTGTTAAAATATCATGTTACGTAATAAAGTTATAGACAACAGGGAAAACCAAGAGCTCCAGCAACAGAAAAGTCTTTTCGTATGGTTTGATTTGGCATTTGCAGGGCTGGGAATCAAACCCCAGGCTCATCCATGCTAGGCAAGGGCTCTGGTCTGTGAAGCTGATTGTGTGGTAGTCATAGCAACCTCTAGGTGTTGTCTCATAGCTTTGCCCCCACCCCAACTTTTGTTTTCCACTTTCGGACAAAAAACTCTCTTTAGCTTTTTCTATTGCCCAGTCTGTCTCCTTCACAATAACTTTACTTAAATCTTATTTCACATGGAAAAATGTAACAATTCTTATGTAAAAACCTGCACACAATAAAATTACATTATTGTCCACAAAAATGAGCTCACATTTCTTTCTTATTCCAGTGTTAAAACTCAAATCTGCAAGAGAGCAAAGGCACAGTGGTAGGTTTATAGGTTGTATGGTTTTTGTTTTACTTTTTTAAGGTCTACTTCTAATACTTAATATCTGAGCCCTCTCTCAGCCTTGATTTCTGTATTTCTAAATGCTTTAGCTTTTAAGGGCAACAGCATAACATACTTTGCTATTTTGCATTTGTACATGATTCAAGGTTAGCTGGTTGCATAACACTGCATCTTTTTCTACCATTCTCAAGTAGAATTTTCCGTGCAAGTAAGTTGCATCAAAACCGCAATCCCATAGACTAGATGGCCTCAAAATTAGACATAGAGTTAAGTAAATAGCTCCCACCTATAATTCAAGCACTGGTGAGTTTGAGGCCTGCCTGGGTACATCATAAGACCCTGTCTCAAAAACAAACAGGCTGGAGACATGGCTCCATGATTAAAAGCACCTGCTGCTCTCCCATGGACCTGGGTTTGGTTCCTACCACCCACTTCAGGCAGCTTACAGCCACCTGTAACTCCATCTCCAGGAGATCCAATACCTCTTTTGTTGTTGTCTTTTTGGGACAGGGTCTCCCTATAGCCCCAGCTGACCTGGAACTCACTATGTAGACCAGGCTGGCCTGGAACTCACAGAGATCCACCTCCTGCCTCCCAAGTGCTGGGATTAAAGGGATGAGCCACCACACCCAGCGTGCGTGCAGCACACACACACACACACACACACACACACACACACACGAATAAAAATATTAAAATCCTAAAAAATAAGAAAACATAATTCTCATAGTTCTGGAAGCTGGGAGGTCCCACACCCTAGGTGCTGGTAGGCTCAGTCTTTGGTGAAGTCTTCTTTCTGGCTTCAAGTCAATCAGCCACAGAGAAGACCTTTGATGCCTCCTCTTAAAAGGATATCAGTGCCAGGCTGGGCGTGGTGGCACACATCTTTAATCCCAGCATTCCGGAGACCGAGGCAGGATGAGCTCTGTGAGTTCAAGACCAGCCTGGTCTACATAGTGAGTTCCAGGCCAGCTGGGGCTACAAGGAGACCCTGTTTCAATAAGACAAAAAGGACAGCAGTGCCTTCATGAGTGGTCTACCCTCAACACTTCTAGCCTAATAACTTCTCAGGGCCCCACTTTATACCATCACAACAGGGTCAGAACTCAACATAGAATTTGAAAGTGGACATTTCCAGTACATAACAAATAATCATCTCTCAAATTGGACATAGGAGTATTTGATTGAGCCTAAGAATGTTAAGAGACTAGACTGAGTGACTGAGGCTGTTTTTTCTCCTCAATAATTACTATTTACAGTTATGAAATTGAATATCCCCTTCAATTGAATATGCCTTCTCCTAAAATGTTTGGTAAGAATAAAAGTCAAAAATCTTATAAAATTTCTTTGTTTAAAAGAAACAATATTGAAAATTTATTGTTCCAGTTATCTTCAGTGGAGAAATTTCCATCAGAAACGTGGTTATCTATTACACATGTATCATGTCAAAAGATAAAAGTGATAAATTCTAAATACTAGACCAAAAGTAGCCTTTTCCAGAATGCACACAATGTACATATTTTATGAAAAATTGGAGTAATAAAACCACCACACATACATATACACCAGTAAATGATTCTTGAGATTTTCATTCATTTGTTTGAGACAGGATCTTCCAGCTGGCCTGGAACTCAGTATGTAGACCAGATTGGCCTCCATTTCACAGAGATCTACCTGCTCTGCTTCCCAAGTGCTGGGACTAAAGGCAAGTGCCACCACATCAATCCTTGAGATCCTTTGTTTCTGTTTTGAGACAGGGTCCTACCCAGAAACTAGTCTCAAACTCACTGTGTAGCCTAGGCTGGCCTCAAACAGCAACCCTACTGCCTCAGCCACCCAACCAACCCAGTACTAGGTTTACAGGCACATGCCAAAATATTCTATTGAGGTTTTATTAGGTTGAATTTGCCTTGCAGTTCTCTTTCCTATAAAATACAGGTTCAGCATACCTGGCCAACTATCTATGTACAAGAAAAAGGAAGGAATGTCCAAGGTAGATTTTCCTATTCTGTTTTCAAGAGCTGACAGCTTTTCTGCCTGCTTATTTTCTAATACCCAGAGGCTCACCTAAAAGTTTATTCCCATAATAAAATGTCTGTAGCATTTGTCATCAGAAAAGCTATGTGCCTAGGAAAATTAAAGTGTTCACTGAATCCAACAAGATTTTTGGTATCTCTGTTTACATGATGTCTTTATAGCTAAGATGGATATGACTGGATAGTAGTTGGCTAGATGGGTTTCTAGCTATTGAATAAAGAGAATTGAATAATGATGAACTTTAAACTGAGGTAATTTCAAGTCCTTTAGCTGAAAACAAATTCCATTAAAAAGTATTATCTAATTCACAAATAACAGCTGGAATAATCACATGCTATCGTGTTTTAAAATTAAAATACTCCAGTACCAGACAAACTTAAAATACAATTAATTAATCCCATCCCATTGCCAGGTAAATGTTATGGGGGGGGGGTCTTGGCAATTTTATTTGGTCAAATTTCAATAGAAATTCACTTTCATGGTACACCTGAGGAGGGGAGCCAGGCGAAGGCACAAACCCTTTGAAGAATGAACTGTTGGAGGTAGTATCCAGATCAAAGGGATAATCTGTCTGGATTCCAGAATGGAAAGATCGATCACAGCTGGGATACTGTGTTCTATCTTAGCTATCACATTTTAAGCAGACTTCGGCCAGACATCAGTGTTTGGAGAAGCAGGAACAAGATGGTGACTCAAAATAATCCTCAAGAGAATTAGGAAAGCTCATTCTGGAGAGTAAATTCTCGAGTGCAAATCAACATATGGGAAAGAGCTAACTCTTAATGGCTAAAGATGTCAGAGTTCCAAGATATGGTTGGATGGTAGAAGGCTTCAGTTCATTAAGAGGAAGCAGTTCCTAATTATTGACAGAAAACACATTCAGCTGCTGGTAGTGCATATTCATAAAGAGGCCACAGCTTCCAGGACTGTTAAAGAGGAAATCCCTCCCAGGAGCAGCTAGTTGTTTCAGATCAACTTAGAGGTTTCCTTATATGATGATCAGAAAAGCATCATTCAGGCAAAAATCATTTGCTGAATTGTAGAAAAGGCATTGAGAGCTAGGGAGATGGCTAAGTGGATAAAATACATGCAGTGCAAGTGTGAGGAACTGTGTTTGTATCCCTAGCACCTACATAAAAGCCAGGCATAGCAGCACATAACTGCAGTCCCAGTGCTAGTAGGTAGAGACAGATCTGCAGAGCTCATTGGCCAGCCAGCCTACACAAATTGGCTCCAGGTTCAGTGAAGAGCCCCGTCTCCAAAAATAAGTGGAGAGACATAGGCGAAGACACCCAGTGTCAACCTCTGGCCTCTACATGCACTCACACACATAACCTGGACATGGACATATGCACAATGCCTATGCTACATACATGGCATTGACTTGGTGTAGCTTTCCTCATTCTGCAGGGAGGCCATTTACAGTTAAGTCTCTTATTCAACTGTAGCTACCCTGCCTTTGTTCAGAGGTTCTCAGTCATGAGCAGAATTTCATATGATAGTTAATCTTGAACATCAACTTGATCAGATCAAGAATCCCTAGTAGGTTGAGGCATACCCCTAAGTACATCTGGGAGGGATTGCCAGGGAGGATTAACTAAGGGAAGACCTGTCTTAGTAGGTTTGGAGCCCAAATGAAATAAAAAGGAAAGAAGGAAGCTCACAAGAGCAGGCCCTCTACTTCCTGATGCCCATGATGTGAACTTCTCTGCTTCACCACACCCACCCCATCATGATGAGTTGGAACTTATGAAATCATTGACCCCAAATACATAGCTCCTCCTTTTCAAATTTCTTTCCTGCATTTGCTCACATCGGTAGAAAGTCTGACATCTGGGACCGAGTATGGGAGAGTAACAGTTACATATGACCATCATAAGGCCAAAAGCTCTTACAGCATGAATCAAAGTGTTCTTTTGCAGAAGTTACAGTTGTTCTCTACTGATTCAACTCATCGCTGTTTTTATCACACATCACCCAGTTTATCAAGCATGGCCTCCACCATACTAGGATCTTGAGTCACTGCTTCTGCCATTGTCCTCAACAGTCCTCAAATAACAGTGAAGAGTTTATAAGTGTTTGTTGATAAACATACTCCTTAAAATTACCTTTTGCTATGAAGATGTGTTTTTCTACAATAACTGCAAAATAATTTATAAGTGAATCAAGCTACATTATGCTCAGTGGTGAAGCGCTTGCCCAGCATGCTTGAGGCCCTGGGTTTAATCCACAGTGCTAATTAATTAATTAATCCATAGAAAGAAGGTCTTTTACCTGGCAGAGACAGCTTTCTGCATAGAAAAGCCCTTTTCTTTTGTG